GGAGGATACATTAAACAACCTGCATATCTTCCGGAACCAGCACCCCGAAATTTCCACTGATTTCAGACTAGGACACAAAATTTCTATCACATAATTGTGTTCCCCAGCCTCATCATTCTGCATTTCTTCCAACACCAATTTTTCTAACCTACTATTTGAGCTAGCATCAATACGAGTAATCGACCAGCATCTACACACTTTCAAGTATTCAAGCACAGAACTTGAACTGATATTAATACTATTTATAACCCAGCAGTCATCCAATTTCAAGTATTTGAGCATAGGACTACCAGCTATAATCTTCTGAAGCACATCATTAGACAACTCAGCGTGTTCTATAGTCAAAACCCTAAGCGATGTCCAACATACCTGTCCCTTGGGTGCATAATCACATTCAGTCGTACTTAATTTTGTCAGTGAAGAACTGTTAAAGAAAAATTGCGGGATGGGATATTGATCAAATCTCCCGCAGAATTTCAAAGAAAGCTCCTCTACAAGACGTCTGGTAACGAAACGGAGCCACTTTTGGATTAAATAATCTAAATGTTTCCTTCTCATTTCGACAAACGCAAATTCAAATTCTAGTTCGAATTTCTCCATCTTGCTAGAGGAGTAGAAAAATAGGGTTTTATCGACAAACCTCGAGAATCTCCGAAGAGGAAATCGAGGACGAAAAGGTTTGTGTCGGAAAGTAAGTTTTGGGGCACAGGTCCATAAATACATCCACCTCTTAGACAAAACACCGGTCTTGACAGCATCTTCTGCCGGTAAAAATGAAAGGATATGGTGGATGACGGAGTCAGGCAAATCGCTGATGCGATCTACCTCGGGAATTTTGCGTCTTTTGGGAGAGCTCCGAACACCTTCCGGCCAGTGTCCCTCATCAATATAGTCGGATCTGGCTGAATGATGACTCCTTTCGTTTTCCCTTTGCTCATCCGATGAATGGAAAGGATTAAGGATTTCATCACCGCCGCCGGATCCGTGGAGTGAATGATCAAAAAAACCGTTATATCTTCTGTCTTCCTCATCCGATGAAAGAACAGGACTAAGGCCGACGTAATCGGAATCTTGAACTTCTTCCATAGAACGCAAATAGGTCTGCCGCGCAAAAACCACAGAACTTTCCTTCTCTGAACCAAGTAGAAGCGAAACAGGCACCTGGGCCGTGAGAACGGCCATAGGCCGGCTTGTAAGGTGCAACCCAAACCCGAGAATTCGGATTCGATTCTTCACCCCCCAAAATTTAAACCTTGTTAAAAGAAAAAAGAAAAAAAAAATAGAAGCGAAACAGAAAAGGCTAAAATCAACTTTGATTACCTCGTATTCTAAAATTGGTAAGTTCTAGTTTTTAACATTATAATATAATATTTTAATTTTTTATCTTATAAAATTGATAAGTTTTAACCTCTCACCTTACAAAACTAATAGATTTTAACTTTTCACCTTATATCATGATACTTTTAACCCCTTATCTATACTAATCGAAGAAAATAGTTCTTATTTAACATTAAGTTATAATGTTTTATTAATTTTATTAATTGACTATTAATTCTGTTAGTTGATTATTAATTTTATTAATTGATTGTTAGTATCTGTTAGCATCCATTAACATTTCGTTAATAGAACTAACAAATAAAATTGAATTTAAATTTTACATTTTTTATAACGAAATGCTAACGAATGTTAACAGTTAACTAACAGAACGTTATAACTTGATGTTAAGTGATGTATATTTTCTTTAATTTGTATTGGTAATGGGTTAAAAATATCATAATATAAGATAAATGGTTAAAACTTATTAATTTTGTAAGATAAGTGGATAAAACTTATTAATTTTATAAAATAAATGATTAAAAATATCATATTATAAGATAAAAAATTAAAACCTATCAATTTTGTAAAATGAAGGAGTAAATGTTGGTTTTTACCGACAGAAAACACGGGAACAACCGAACAACACAGAGACGGGAAAGTTATTAAAAAGAGATATACCGATAAAAACAAAATAAGAGGGTAAATGTTGGGCTAGTGTCATTGGGTGTGAAGAAGCCCAATTTAGGATACTCGCGGTCCAACCCAATACTACAAACTAAACAGCACCGAATTGGGTACATGTTATTTAAAAAATGTGTTAGGTAATCCGTAATCTCGTGCAATTTAAAGTAAAATGTTTTTGAAATAATTTTCTATAATTTTTTAATTAAATTTATATATTATTTAAA